TGGCAGTTAGCTGGCACAGGCTCACTCTGGTCAGAAAGAAACTTTGGATTGAGAAATTTCAGTCGAATAACCTTTAGGCCTGAAAAATAGAATTATATAAGGACCTCAGAATGGCCACTTAGGCCAGGCCTTATGGTGCTCCAAGCAGCAGAGGAGCCCAGTCCCAATTGGGGGCGCCAAGTCAGCCAGGGCTTATGGAAGGGTCTGAAATGTTAGGTTTCAAAGCAACTCTGGCTCATTTTACACCACACCTGTCTGGGGGCCTGAAAAGCCATGTGTGGTCTGAGTCCGTTTGCCTCCCTAATCTCATTTTGGAGTCTGCCTAACTTCCAGATGGGTTTGAAGGAGTGTTGTTTTTCAGGTTCTCTGTCCCCCACCCTTCAGCCTTACCATCCAGGACCTCCTATCCAGGAACAGTTAAGTGAACTCCTTTTTCTTTTTCTAAAGCTCTGCATTTTGAAAAACAGCCCCCTACTCTGACTCTATCATATTTATTTGGTCAAGTCAAGATATTTCCAAAGGGTGGCCACCAGCTTTCCTTCCCCTCATCCCCTGCCTCAAGGAGGTCACACTTGCATCCACCCACTAGTATCCAGTTGACTGCATATGCTCCGTGGACCCTGGTGGTCCCATCCTCTGGCCAACTTAACCAAAAGCTATTGGGCCTTCCAGGACCGATTTTAATCACTCAGCCTCCACTAGCCTTCCCTGACCCCACCAGTTCACATCACACCGTGGTGTGCATGGTGCAAATTCCCATTGCACTTACTGAAAATGCCAAACACGTTTTGTACTTAATTCTTCTCTCTAGCTAGGGGACCTTCTGTAGTACTGTAGAAAGAGTTTGTATTCTCGAATTTGAAGACTGGATTCCAGAATCACTTACTAGCAAAGAGATTCGGGGCAAGTCACTTCACTTCTCTAAGTCTGTTTTCTCGTGTAAAATGGGGACAGTGGTCTGTGTGACCTGATTGTAAAATAGGGACAGTGGTCTGTGTGATCCAGTTGTAAGAGTGATAAACTGAGTTAATATTTTTGGAAAGCTCTGTAAACAGTTAAAGGGCTACACATCTACAGGTCAGTATTAAGTTGTCCTGCTCCTCCCAAGTCCTTCTCCTTGGTTTCATGTGAAATTAGAACTTTGGGTGTGATCAGGGAGATAACAGACCAATCAACATAAAGCCAGCTTGCCCGAAACCTCTGCCTAAAACCCGTTCCTCTGATGACCAGTTTGCCTAAAAGTCAAGCTAGCAATTTTAAAATAAGGCATTTCACACCAATTTTCCTAAGAGATATTTCCAATGCAATGTCGCATTTTTAAATCACTATGTCACAATCTGCAGCATTTTGTCAATGGTGAGATTGTTTTCTATGCTTGTGGGTGACTTCTATTTTATATCCTATTGAGCGGTTTTATGACTTTTTAGCAAGTTTGTCTGAAAAGCTGTTCTTTAAAATTGTCTATTTCTAGCACTAAATATGTGTCAAATCTATAGAATTTCCCACAAGATTTATCAAATGCACCCATTTTGATCCCTTCTGTCTCCTTCTCACTGGGTTTTGCTCTGCATTATGTATGCCTGTGTGCACCTAATGGGTTTATTAGCCAAATTAGCATATACTCAGTGTTCCTGTCTGTTCTGCAAGATATTGGCATTTTGACAACAAGCAAGAAGTGAGACAGATGGAGCAGAATTGTATTGAACTCCTTGCATTTTATTTTTCAGGTGATCTCATTTATCAAGCAACTCCAGTTTGTGAAATATAAAATGATACATACAAAGTCATTACCAAATGTATTTATTGCTGAAAACATAACATTTTTCAAGAAAGGCAAACTGGCTAAAAAGTCCTGAAAGTGTTCAAAAGTAGACAAAATAGAAAAAGACACCCACCAAGGATACAAAACAATCTTTAGTAGAAATCCATTTAATCAGCATGTTTTTAAATAAATTGCTTTTTAAAAAATCCTTTAAATGACATTGCCCCCCCAAAAATATATATTAGGATGTCCAAACAGATGCCAAAAAACATAAAAGTGAGCTGGGTTTTATATGAACATAGGGTTTCCTTTTGTGAGCTCATGGCAAATCAGTCTGAGGCCAGTTGACTTAGAATCGATTTGGGATGCAGGCACTTACCTCCCTGCACACGCAACATGTGGGCCTGGGGACAACCGTGGCCCTCAGGGGAAAGCAACACCCCTCCTGAATATGACCTCCGAGAGTAAGGGCGAATTGTCAGCTTTTAACTGTTTATTATAAAGACATATTTACACAGAACAATCTTTACAAACAGAGTGAACACAATTATGGGAAGGGGACAATTTCTTAATGAAAAGGGCCTTAATATCTTTGTATAAATTAGTATAAGAATCATACACAACCATCTTAAATAAGACAGCCCCCCCTCGGCCCACCCACTACCCTCCTCTGCCCGGAATCTCCCACTTTCTCAGCCACCCCGCTTTCTCCTCCTTCCCATGGGGCTGGGCTTGGCTGCAGGCTGATGAGAAAGGAGATGCAAAAAGGAGGGGGAAGAAGGCCCAGTCCCTGGTGGGAGCATCAGTGGCAGAAGACTTTCTGGACACTGGCCAGTCCCCACTCCAAGCCTGAGGGCTGTGGGAGGGGCTGGTGTCCACCCTGGCTCCCCAGGGCGGGCCTTGAAGCAGCAGCAGTGTTAGCAGCAGCAGAGGGAAAGGACTCAGGGGAGACGGACAGGCAGACATTGGGGTTACTGTGGGACTTGGGGGGCCCTGATTCCCCCTGCCCCCACACATACATAGGGGGGCATCAGGCTCTTGTATTCTCTTTTCTCCCTCCTGGGAGGCCTCTAAGAAGGAAACCTGCTCAGGCAGAAGGTGAGAGAGCCCCCATGCAGGGAAGGGCTACTGTAGGCCCCTCATGGAACCTGGGGCCTCCTGGGGGACTATCCCACCAGCACTTCCTCCCATCTTTTCCTCCTTCCTTCCCTTCCTTTTCTTTCCTTCCCTCTTCTCCACTCTCTGCCCCGCCCCCCAAGGAAAGGCCATGGGAAAGAAGGTCCATTTAACACAAAGGGAAGGCTATTGAGCTTGAGTTAAGGCTACCTTTGGCTCGCAGAAAAAACACTGTTGAGGTTTGAATGATAGTGTCAGTGCTTGAGCGGCCCCTATTACAGTACCCCAGGCCGGGAATGCTGCCCGAATGGGGGCAGCTGGCCAGTTCTGGAAGCTTTCGGCCCAGCTGAGGAAGGCCAGGGAGGTGGGAGCAGCTCCATCCCCCACAGTGGGGCAGTTCACAGCCTGCTTGCCTCTCTCTCCCCCTCCCAGCCGCCCCCAGCCCCAACCTCCGGAAAAGGCACTTCATTTGCTTTGAAAAGACATCATGGAGAGCGGGGAGGACATCATAAAGCTGGGAGACCTGGTCCCTCTCCTGGCTCTGCAGTAACCCTGAGCAGGTCACTCCCCTCTCCAGGCCTGGTTTTGCAGGCGGTTTGCATAAGGCAGCTGATCTCCAAGGGTCCTTTGGGCTCTGATATTCTGTCATTCTTGGCATAAACAACTTTCCTGCTTGGCTTTTACTCCTGGGAGGGTATAGAGCCGTGTCAGGCCTGGCACCCTCCTCTGTTGACCCGGAGCTTGACCTAGCTTGGGGGAGGAGGAAGACAGGGAGTGTTAGGAGGCACAGGAAGGTGAAAGAAGTGACGCAGTACTTCACGGGCCTCTTTCCTTCACCTCCTCCTTAGCTGAGCCCAAACACCAGGAGGAGGAAGAAGCCACAGCTAAGTGGTGCTTCAACCCCCTTCTCCAGGGTGCCGCCCCTTCCTCCACGTTTCAGTGCGCCCTACCTGATTCCCAGCACCCAGCCCCTCCAGCTAGAGAGCCTGTCACGGCGTATGTCTGTATTCCTCTCTGGAGGCCGGGCGAGGGGTCCAACTGACAAGAAAACATGGGATGCTGGAGCCCACTGAAGGAGGGAGCATTTCCACCCGGCCCCCGGGACAGACATGAGGTTGGGGAGTTACACGGGAGAGGCAGGGACTGGAGCACAGCGCGGAGGAGAAGGAAGGCCTTCCAGGGCTGGGTCTTCCAAGTCAGTCCAGGAGGGGCCTGGAAGATTGGCTGGATGGATCCTGGAGAAAGGAAATTGTGGGCGCCATTCAGGGAGCTGGTGGGTGAGAAGAGCCGGGGCCATCAGCAGCTAGAACAGGTGTGAGACGAAAGCTGAATGGATATGAGGGCTCCAGAGAAGCAGACCAAGGCACAGAGCACAGAGCTGCAGCGCGTGGGCACTAAGGGGCCCCTTCAGTCCTAAAGAGACAAAAATGACAAGGGAGAAGTCACTGATGTGTCCTAGGTCAAAGGAACCCCCCAGGAAAGGAGAGGAGACAGGCTTCATCTCCCCACTCCCCAGTCCTGAATCTAAAGCCCCCGTCCCTGGGTTGGTGCCACCCTATCCCTGCTACAGTGGGAGAGACCGCAGGCTGGCCCTCGGGGACAGGCTTAGGCCCTGCTCTCTCTGCAGCTGCCTGGATTCTTCCCCTCTTCCCATGGCTCTGGCAACCTCAGCCATGACTCTCCCCCTGCTCTGTCCCACACCCTGCAAGGCTCTCTGCCTCCTCCCCCCTCTCTGGTGACAACTCACACTGGACACATGTAGGCTTGCCCCGGGCACTCCAGTCACCAAAGCCCGTCAGGACGCCTACAATTCTCCAACTGGGCCAGCCTGTGCAACCCCAGGCAGCAGGGTGGAGAGGAGCCCGCACCCAACTCTTGGGGAGTCAGGAGATTGGTCCCGGGCATCAAGCCCCTCTCTGGGCCTCAGTCTCCCGCTCTGTACAATGAAGGGATGAGACGGCTGCTCCAGAAGCTCCCCACGAGCTCTCAGCCCCTATGCCTGTATGGTGCTGGGACTGCTTGGTAGATGTATTTGACAAGTGATGAGTGGCAGGGCCACGCAGCTTCCAGGCTGTCCCTTCCCCTCCCCTTTTGCACTGCCCACTGACCAGAGGCTCAAGTACCTGCTTCAGAAAGGCATGGGGCCCTTATGGGAGAGGCGGGGCCGCTGGCGGCGGAATTTCCTCCGACCTCCCTGCCAAGGCCCTGGTCCATTCCTCGATGCTCTGGGCTGCACCAGGTGGCGGACTTTGCCTTCCTCCAGCCCCTTCCCCTCAGGAGGCTGCATCAGGGGCCCTGCAGGAAGGAGAAAGCCTGTTAGTGAAGAAGGCTGATGAAAACAGGCAGGGGCCACAGAGCACAGGCCCCCCCTGGGACAGGCAACTCTCCATGAGGTGGCGCTCCTCATAGCTCTCCTTTTGTTTTTCTTTTCCATCTTGAAAAATCTGCAATTTGTACACTGTCCTGGGGCAAACAGAACCCACAACTCACATCTTGCCATTGAAGCTGATTCTTTGTCCTTTTGACAGTTAAATCATGTTTCTAACAGGCATGAATGGGTTCTTTCTTTTGGAATGCCATTGAGTAGTTGCACTTTGGGACATCATGCCTGCACTTGGCTGGGATGCAGGAGGCAGGGCTCCCCATGGCACCCCTGCAAATGGTACACTTCAAACATTTCAGACATATGACATTACAATGACCGCCCCCGATGTACCCATCATCCAGATTCAACAATTATCCAGATGGAGTCACATATGCTTTAGTTACCCATTTTCTTTTTTTCTTGGCTGCAGTATTTTAAAGCAAATGATGAACGCCATGCCATCGTACTCCTACATCCTTTGATATGCAGGGTGACCTACTTTTGAGTACTAGAGATCTCGTGTCTCACCCCTGGGCATCTCATAGGTGGTCATGCGGCACTGGTTAGGCTCACTCATGCTCTCAAGTCCTCCCCGTGGATGTTGCTAGGTGGCAGGTGGGGACTGTTTCTGACTCAGCGTGCCTTATGCTGGGCTCTACTCAGCCCGTGACCAGATTTAGAGCCCAGGAAATATTGCATGGATGAATGAATAAATGAATGAATGGATGAATAACAGAATGGTCACCTGAGCACCAGGAGGGGGCTGTGCTGCTATAGTGGGCACCTCTCCACCAATGCCCTACATCTTGTCCTTCCCAGATCACATCCCCCCATCCTGTGTCTGATGTAAATTCTTCCCATTCCAACCCCACCTGGCTTCTATTCTGCACTCTGGGGCTCCTCTCTACATCTCTCCACATCTGGCTTAGAGTAGAAGCCTCTTGATGCCAGACTGAGCTCTGACAACAGAATCCAAGTGGTGCTGGGTGCTCTTGGGTGCAATGAGGGGGAAGGTATGCAGGCTGCAGTGGAGCAAGCAGTCCAGCCAGAGAAGCCGAGCTGGCACCCCCGAGACAAGCCTGGCCGGCGGCAGGTAGTGCGAGCAGATGAGACGGTGCTGGGGAAGAGGTGGTCGGGCGGGGTGCTTGTGCAATGCCCAGCACAGCTTCTGAGGCCGCTGATAATGAATACCAGTCTCTCCCCAACCCACACCATCCAATTGGCCTTCAGTGTATCCCTGTCCCTTGAGCCCCATTGCCATCCATCCAGGAATCCCCACCACTAGCTCACAGTTTCCATATAGCCTCCCGTTGGCTGCCCGCCCCTCAGTCATACTCCTTCCTGGCAGCTCCTCCTTCCCTCCTCCCCTGCCTCCAGCATCCCCATGCTCTGGTTCCTTCCTTGGCTCCTCGACTCTGTGAGTCCTCCTCCGCTTGCACACAATTTCCAGGCATTTAGCCTCCTCTCGGGCCAAAGGTGGGTGGGGTTTATCCTTAGGGCCCTCTTTCGCCCAGGCTCAGGGCCTGCTGTTCTCCCCACTCACACCCAGACACACCCACCGGGCCGGCACAGGCATCCCCTCTAACCCTCACCCCCCACTCTTCTTCCCCAAGAAAAATCACCGGCCCACGACGGCCCTGCTGTTGGCTGGGGTAATTTGCTTCACTGTCCACACTTCCATGCTAATGGTCAGAGTGGGTTAACATGTCAATTCACCCCCTAAACCTATAACCTATGAGAAAAAAAAATTATATTAGCTCTTTGGAGCAGTAGGTATGGATGGAGCAAGGGGGCTGCTTTTGTCTGACTGTCATAGAGCTACCCTCTTGGTGCCATCTGCGAGGGGGCTGGGGCTGGGGCTGGGGAGAGAGAAAAGGGAAAGACCTTCACTAAGCCCCCCACCTCAGCGGCGTCAGCTTCTGGCCTGAGTCTCGGGGTCCCCTGAAGGCTCACCCTGCCCACTGAGGGTAGATGTGAAAGATGCTGCTAAGGAGTCAGCACCGATCACACACGGGACAGTAAGGACTGTGCTGAGGGTGTGGCCAGGCACAGGGGAAGGACCCAAGGGGCCTTGTGAAGTGAACCAAGTGAAGCCTCGTGTCTCACTTCCATGCCTTCAACTACTGGGAGTGGGGCAGGGGTGGGGCAATGGAATGGCACGGGCCATTGTCCCCCAGGGGTCCGGTGGGCATGGCGAAGAGAGGCACGGTGCCGGGGGGGGGGGGTGGGTATCGTCTCCATGTGCTCAGCACCCGAGACTGTGAGTGTGGCAGTCAGGAAGGGAGCGCTGGGGTAAAAGGCCCAAAGGGGCAGGAGGCCAAGCTGGGAATGGGACAGGATGGGAAGCAGGAATGGTGGCTCCGACTCTGGCCAGGAAGACCCTAGACCTGCAGAGAAGCGCCACCCTGAGCTGACTGAGCACTCGGCCAGGCCCTGGAGAGCAGCCACCCAGCAGCCCCTGGCCTCTTGCATCCCTCCCGTTGGGTGGGGGGCTCATTGTCCTCTGTGTCGCCCAAGTCTGCAGACTCCTCCCGCACTCAGAGCCCATCGCCCACCTGTTTCCTACTTTTCATGCCGGGTCTGGCTCACCGTCAGATAAGCTGACACCTGAAACCCTGGCTTTATCCTGTCCAAAGGGACAAATTAGAGGCTGTCGATTCTCATCGCTGTACAAAAGAATTCTCGTTTAGAAATGGGAGCCATCCCCAGTGCACTTAAATAGCTTCTTCCAACTCATTTGTTACTTAAAGGGAGGATGGAGCCATCCCCCAAAGAACGTCACACCTAGAGGAACTGCAGCCATCACTCGCTGAAGCCCCCATCAGCAACGAAGCTACAGCATCTCCACACTGAGAACCGCAGTCGGGGGAGGACAGGATTAGACTCAGGCAACCTTAATGTCAACTCTGCCAATGCACAAAGAGGTACGTGTGACTTTTCAGGAACGTGCCAGCCTCACCAGGAATGACGCACCTGTTTTATCCTCTCATGAGATGGCCTGTCTTGTGATTGCTTTAAAAGCCCATACGGGTGCTCTGGTGGGGACCCTGCTGGCAATGCCCCTCCACTGCTCTGTGGTCCTGCACGTATCTTTTTGCCCAGCCTCCCACTCCAGTCGCCTTCTCCAGCGCCCTGTGCTATCTCCCAGTGCCAGCTCTGTTGCCCTCGGACACATCATGCTCTGGCAGCCTGGCCCTCCGCTTCACTTGCATTAGTGAAGGCATGGCTCAGGTTACATGGGTGCTCAGTGCTTACGACTGGGGATGGAGATGAGGTGCCCCCTCCCTGAGTGAGGCGGCTACAATAGAGTGTCCTCACACTACCATTGTGACTGTACAACTGCACACTTGGGGCTGGGGACAAGGGGAGGAGGGGAGAAAGAGAGGTGCTTAGACAAAGACCAAGAGACACTTGGCCCTGGCCCAGGAGCTCTCAGACCCAGAAGAGCAAAGTGTATCCCAGGTCAGGAGGCAGTGGAGGCGTGTGTGTGGTCGGGGGGAGGGTGAGAGGGGGTGGACATTCCAAGTCAGGACAGAGTGTGGAGAGGAGGAAGCATGGTTTTCAGGCCCAGAACTTTGACTGGGGACCCTGGCTGGGGACAGCATGCAAGTCCAGGCCAAGGACAAGGTGGTTCTGGGATCCCTGTTTTTAACATAGGACAGGAGGCAAGAGGAACAGGACGTATACCTGGACCCTTGGCTGGTGGCCACCTCCAGGCTCCAGGAGAGGTAAGTGGGTAGAGAAGCCAGTAGGAGCCCCAGAAGTTTTCAGTACTAGGCTTAAGCAAAATATGAGGGCAATGAATTTACCAAAACCAGGGTGTACAGATGACCTAATGAAGAAAGGTGAATTAAAGCAAGAAGTGGCAGGCCCTGGGCCAGACATACACAGTGCTCCGGTACCCTGGCCAACTTCCTTTCCCTTGAAAGCAGTTCTCTTCTTTACCAATACTGCCCCAACAGCTCGACCCCAGGAGGGTTCAACTGGTGGTACGTTGGCCCCGGGTCTCCCCATAGCTTCTCAAGGTATATCCAAAAGCCCCACCTTCCTCTGGGACACCCTCTCTGCACTCTTTTTCTTCCCTGAAGGCATCCCTTGGACTATCCGCCTGTGGTGGTATCACGTGAGTGCTGTGTCTTGCCAGCTACGCCAGATGGTAGGCTTCTGGAGGGCAGGCCCGGGCGGTGTCTTTCATTCGTACCTTTTGCTCCCTTCCCTCCATGGCCTGCCTGACAGGAGTTTCTAAGAAACAAGCCTGCTTCCTTCTCACCAAGGGAGTCTTGAAGAGGGAGACCACTGACAGCCACCTGGAGGCAGGAGGTGCCAGACCCAACTAATGCGCCTTCCTGGGAAGGCAGGCGGTGCTCCCAGGGCCTGAGCAGGGCTGAAAAGCAAGAGCAGAGAAAGGAGGTGGCCTACAAAGAGGCAGGCAGAACTGGCCAGGCCCCTTGGAGGCTCCTGGGCTGCATGCTATCCTCCTGTTCTGGAGGGTTTGGAACCAAGTAGGGGCCTGTACTCTTCCTCTAGGAAACTTGCTGCTCTGCCCTCTCCTTCTCTCTGCTCTCACCTCCCTGTGACTCCAGCCCTTGCACTGGCATTAGTCCACCTGGTCTTGGCCTTCCCCTTCTGTGGTGCCAGGTGCAGCAATGACAGCCAAATCACAGGACTGTGGCAGCTGGAGGTGGGAGCTGGCAGCCCCAGGAGATACTGACGCATGGAGGACAGGCAGCCCCAGATGGGGCTGCTGGGGCGTGGGTGGGGACCAGGTTTGGGGCAGGCACGGGAGCACTGGCGCCAAGCATTGCCAGGTGGGGGTGTGGTGCAGGTGGGGTGAAAGGACTCCCCTTCCCTGAGCTGCATGGAGAGGTCAGGTCAGCTGCTGTGTTTCCTCCTTTGGTGCCTGAAGACAGGGGGACTAAGGTGAAGCATGCCCGTGCCGGGGACAGAGGGGAAGGGGAGGCTGGAACCAGGATATGGGAGAACCAGCTCCCCGAGAGGGATGGATGCAATGGGGAGGGCGTCCTGTGCAGGGGAGGAGAGCAGCCAGGACCTTGGGGTAAGAGAGGAGAAGACCAGCCCAGCCTGGCTTGGCCTGGCCCGGCCAGCCCTGCCTCGGGGAGGCTGCCTCTGCTCTGCTCACACGCAAGCTGAAAGGAGCGAAAGCTGTGCTCCACGCTGCCGCCGCCTGTGCCCTTCGGCGCGCTCCTGCCTATGCAACAAGTGTCACGTCTGCATGTTGGCACATCACCCCGAGTGGCCCGCGCCCCTGGACCGGCCGGCAGCGCCTAACCTCCAGGGGCCAGCAGACCTTCAACGTGGGAGCCCAGCCCCCCCTGCCCCAGTCAGTTCCCTCCATCGACCCACGAGGGGAGCGGGCATGTCCCCCACCACGTGGGGTGCGGGGCGCGGGACACGGGGCACACGGCACACGCCTCTGGCCCGGAGCTCCACGGACTGCGAGGGGCGGTCAGGAGGTACAAGTCGCCGGGCAAGTGATGCCCGAGGCAGCGCCGAGCCCCCCAGAGGAAACGGTCCCCGTGGCGGGCTGCCCACTGGCCCCGGGCGCCCTGTCAATCGGCCGCCTGGCGCGGCGGCGCGTGGCTGCTGCTGCGCGGCTCGCGCCGGGCTCCCCGGGAGGCGGGCGGGGCGCGCGTGGGGCGGAGGGCGGGGAGCGCGCCGGCTGCAGCCCGGGGAGCCGCGAGAGAGCGTGGGCGAGCGCGAGGGAGGCGCGCACTCACCTCCACACACTGCGGTCACGGAGAGCCAGAGCAGCAGGAGAGCCTGCACGCAGAGCCACAGATTCATGCTGCTCCTCGGGCCGCCGGCCCCGGCGAGCCTGCGGGAGGGCGGAGAGGCCCGGCGCCCGGAGGCACAGCAAGGCGCGAGCCGCGGCCGGCGCGTGCGGGCGCGGAGCTCGCGTGGCTCCCGGGCCGCTTGAGTGTGCGCGCCCGAGCCCTGCTGCAGGCTGCCGGCCGCCGCGCCCGCTCGCCGCCTCCGCTCTCCTGCAGCCTCCCTCTCCCGCCGCGGGGCAGCGTTGCGAAGCTGGCCTCGGCGGCTCCGGGGGCGGCAGCGGCGAGCTCTTTCCGAGCGGCTGGCTACTTGGCCCCGGCTCCAACTGCCCGTGGCCCCGGCTGCCAGCGAGAATGCTCCCTGCTCACTCCAGGGGCTGCATTTTGTAGCTTGTGGCTTGGCCGCGAGCCCACTTGGTCATGTGGTCATCGGGGGGGGGGGCGGTTGGAGGGGGGCAGGAAGAGAGAGAGGGAGAGCGCCTCCCGCACCGCCCCCCTCCCGGCACGCACTCTGCAGCCCCAGCCAGGGCGCGAGAGGGAACCCCGAGGTGGCCCCACAACAAAGGCTGCGTGGCCTGTCGGACAACCCACAACTGCTCCCCAGACAATGCCCGCCTGGCCAGGAGCCAGAGGGTTTGCTGAGACCTGAAGGATTTCAAACACAGGAAGCATTTGGGGCGGTGGAGGGGCACACTTAACCCTTTCTCACCTCGCTTCCTTAACAGCTGTCAGGAAACCTGGGTGCTCAGGGAAGGACCCAGTCCGGGCTGCCCCCTCTCACCCCCTCCACCTCTGGCCCTAACCCTGGCCTTTCCCCTTGCCACTCCTCAGCCACAAGGGTTTGGTCAAGACCCCCACACACCAGCCCTCCTCTCTCCTCTGTGTCTTCAACTGGGTTTGAATTGCGGGTGACTGCCTAGGCTTGTGCCTGAGGCTTGATTAACCGCACAGCACCCTCGTTCTCCCACCATCCCCGAGGAGGCACCCTCTACCTGGAATGCCCCCGCCCCATCCCGCCCTTCTGTGAGCTCTTCATTCTTGCACCTCAAATCCCATCTCACCCAGAGGCCTTCCCAGGGTAACAGTAATCTAGGAGGGGCTGACCTTCAGCTCCTCCTCACTGTTGGGACACGCCACAGCTCCTAGGATGTCTGTCGCCTTTCTAGTTCCCCATCATTGGTTTACCTAACTCAAGCAGTATCTAGGCTGGGTTCGTTTTGCACGTACTTGGGATTCCCCTTCATAAGGAGGTCCTAAAGTTGTCCGCCTCTCCAAATTAGACCGTTATCTCCTTCTACAGCCTAGGAGCTCCCAAGGAATGAGGCTGCCTCCTGCATCAGACTGGGAATCCCCTAAGATAAGGACCCTGTCTTCTCATTCTTCTGGATCTCTCCAAAGTCCCCAATATCGTGCTCTGCACATAGGTGGCACTCAACGCATGTTAAAAGACTAAATCAGGTGTTTCTACCTTTCAGCAAACCAGGCAGTTTGCTTGAAGTGCAAGTCCAGATTTACACAAAGGATACATTGGACAGTGTTTATATGTGCCATAAAAAGCATGAGAGACCATGGTATAGTTAAACTATTTTTGAAATGTTATAAAAATTAAGCATGTATACACTGTATGTATCAGTCTCCCTCTACCAGAATTGTCACCTCCACAACACAGGGATCTTTGCTTTGTTCAAGGCTGTGTCCTCAGACCTAGAACAGTGCCTAGGACATGATTAGGGCTCAGTACATAATTTTGAATACATGAATGAAATTTTCAAAAACATCCCTACTGCCTAAATCGAGGTAGCAGGAAGGGAACAAGAGAGGGCTCTCATGAATAGCCTATGGCCCCATTAGCCACAGTCAAGCAGGAAGGGGCATATGAAGCAAAGCATCTCTCTTCGTCCACAAGACCCAGACTGTGAGTGGCAGGCAAGAGTAGCATGACATCCTTCTCCCTTGGCTGTCCCTCTGGAAAGAAATGTTTCAATCAAGAGAAGAAACACCTGGCCTCTAGACTCCGCCCTCATCTGCAATAGGGCCTTGCCATTGTCACCTAAATTTACTGGGTCTCATGGGGATGATAATCTCTGCTCTACCCTCTTTGAGGTTGTCATGGGATTAAATGAGATACTGTATCTGAAGGTACTGTGCAAATTAGGAATAAGGTCTTGCAGGGTTGTTTTTAAGAACCTTGGTGTTCCGACCCCTGATTGGGCAAGCCCGTGTACACGCAAATAAGTGTTCCCCATAACTAGGTTAACAGAAGCCTTCATATTTAATTGTACCTTTGCTAGGTTGTGTATGGGCTCTTGCTAAGTGGTTAAAGCATTTAGTGCTTTCCAATACAGTGTCTACTAACCACATTTCAAATGAAGTTTAAAATTCAGTTCCTCAGTCACACTGGCCACATTTCAATTGCTCAGTAGCCACATATGGCTAGTGCCTACTGTATTGCACAGAACAGAATAGAACCTTTCAGTCATCACAGAAAGTTCTATTGGGTAGAGCACTCATTCATTCTTCCTTTTTCTCTAATCCTTTTTCCCACCTTACCTAGTCTTCAAAATGTACAAGGTAGTGCGGAAAAAACCACAAAAGCAAACCAATACAGATTCAAGCCAAGCAACAATAAATCAAAGGCATGCATTTAAGGCAAGTTTAAAGAGCTGAACACTTTTCAAAATCTAGTCCTTCTCTCCGCTTAACTAAATTGCATCCGTTTTTCTAGTCCCAGATCCAAGATTTGATCTCCCTTCTTTCTCAGGCCACTCTCTCCCATGGTGACTTTGCCCTCTCCATAACAGCCCTGGCTGTACCTTTCATTGGTAGTTACTCTCACCATGCCTTGGGAACACCTTTGCATTTGCATGCCATGCTTTGTGGGCCTGCTGTCATTCTGCAGAGACGCCCACCACTGCGTCCATTCTGGAATCGAGGCTGATAAGGCAAGGAATGCAACTCTCACTGCTCACTCGGAACCCCTTGTAGGCTCCCATATCTCTCCATATCATATGGCAATGACCAGTTTTCATATCTGTCTCCACCTGCCAGACTTTAAGGTCATGGGAATGATATATTCCATAACTGCTTGTCAAATAAATAAATAATTGTTGGCAAAACTTTGTACTGTCTTTTGTTCAGGAAGATACTATTGAATTAATATCAGCAGAATAAATGTTTTAAGGTATGTCTCTGGTGGCAGGAGGAGGTACATGAAAGCCTCCACACTCTCCTGCCCTGAGGCAGCAAGCAGCTGGGAAGTTGTTTGAAGCATTGCCGCACTGGGGGCTCAGACCTGTAGTCAGGGGCAAGACTCAGTTTTCAGTCAAGGTGAAGGACAATCCTGGGGGCAGGGGTAGGACTAAGTGCATTCTTGGGGACAGAAATGAGATAGCTGACCTACGTGAGGCCAGCCTGTAACTTGTCTCCCTCATTAGTGCTATGCACCAGCTATTCAGTTCTGCTTAGTGTCCTATGTCATTACCACCAGCCGCTGTTGTTCAATTGACTTGTTGACCTCTCTGTCCTGTGGCTTTAAGTGAGCAGTGTGGTGTAGTAAGAGAAATCAGCTTCAGGAGTTTCACATAACTGGATTCAAATCCTGCTCCTCAATCCCATTCATTAGCTCTGTGACCTCAGGCAAGTTATTATACTTAGCCTCTCTGAGGCTCGGTTTCTTCATCTACTAAATGAGGATAATAATGGTACCTACCTTATTATGCGGTGTGGTTTCAATGTATGTGTCCTTCCCAAATTCATAAGTTGTAATTAAGTGATGGTATTAAGGGGGGGGGCGCCTGGGGGGATTGATTAAATCATGAGGGCTCTATGCTTATGAATGGATTAGTGGTCTTATAAAAGATTGAAGGGAGGGCCCTAGTGCCCTTTTTGCCCTTCTGTCCCTTCTACCATGTGAGGACATAGTGTTTGTCCCCTCCAAAGGAAGTAGCATTCAAGGTGCCATCTAGGAAGCAGAAACTAGGCTCACCAGACACAGAACCTGCCAGCACCTTGATCTTGGGCTTCCCAGCCTCCGGGACTATGAGAAATAAATTTATATCATTTATAAATTACCCAATCTCAGGTATTCTGTTATAGTAGCAGGAATAAACCAAGACATTATAGTTGGGAGATTAAATGAGATAATGTAGCACAGTCCCAGGCCCGCAATGGTTGCTCGTTCAATGTTAGTTTTCTCCTCCTCCTGACCTGCCCCTCCCACCACCTTTGGGTCAGTCCTCCGGCCTCCTGGAACTGATCAGGAAGGAATGGCTCTGTCTTTGACCTGCTCCATCCACACCTGCCTTCTTCCTAGCCATCGAAACTTCTCAATATCTTATTCCCCAAAGCACCAATCTCTACTGGGGCTAATATGATGAATGCACTTGATCCAGGCAGTCAATGCATGATAGTGGTTTGAGGTTATGCCTCTCAGGTATGGTATTCATTTTAAAGGGGGCCTTTGGGCAACAATGCCCTGCCCAAGGAAATGTCAAGCTCCACCCTTCTGAGCAAGGAGACACTTCAGTGACTTTCATCTGGCTTCTGTACACAGAGCTCACCTTGCTCCAAAATCAACTAAAGGAGAGATTATCTCTGGCAATTTACAACCCAACTTTCGACACAGGTCCAGCCCCTGAAACCTCTCGGTACAATCCTGTTGCAGCCCATTCCTCTCTGCCTGTCCCCATAGATGATGATCATGATCATGATCGTGATGATGCAGCTAAAATTTATTTTGCACGTGCTATGTGTCAAGCACTGTTCTCAATGCTTTACATGTATTAACTAATCATCGACCTGTGAGGTAGGTTCTATATCATCCCCATTTTACAGATGAGGCAACTGAGACTAAGAGAGTTTAAGTAATTTTTCCAGGTCTGCCTAACCTCAAAGCCCACATCTTCCCTCATTGAGCATCAAGAAGCAGTTTCTCACTTCTTGGGCCCACATATCGCTTTATTTGAACTTCTAACAACTAACTCATACTGTCTTGAATTGGGAATCAGTGATAGTGGTTAAGCACATGGGTTCTGGAATAAGGCATTTCTGTCACTACATGAATAACTTTGGGCATATTCTTAACCGTTTCTGAGCCTCGGGTGCTTCATCCATGTTATTGGAAGGATTAAATGAATCAATACCTATAAAGTTCTTGACACAGTGCTTGTTCTCATAGTAAGGTGAGCACTGTATAAATGTTACCTATTCTCATAGATATTTGTGTATATGTCTTACCCACATGAGATAGTAAGACTATGTTTTATTCATTTTCATATTCTCACCAGCAGTGCTATTGCCCAAATACTCAATAAATATTTGTTGAATGAAAGAAGGAATTGGATAGTCATACTAAT